CTTCAAGCGAGCCAATCAGAATACAAGGTGCCTGCAACCACTTTTTTCTTTTGATTTGTGGTTCCTATGGCAATAGGAAGAGAGCCTAGGACATTTCTCTCTTACCTCTTTTAATAAAACTTTTTGCTTTTGAAAAATGCCAGAGGCCATTATTCTTCTGGTCTTTCCTGGGTTATAGTTTCTCACTATGTTGGCCCTGATACTATTTTGTTTTTTGTTTTTTGTTTTCATTGTGCAGTGGATATGGCAATAAACACTATCAGCTTCCTTGGCTAATATTATATTATTTTCACTGGCTCTAGAACCAAAAGATATACAAACAACCTAATTGGGTATTGACTGTTTAAATCAGAATCCAGTTCTCTGTGAACAGTCCTAAATTGAAATATTGGTCTTTACAAGTAGCTAGATATAAAATTATAACAAACATTGGAGGTGTTATTCTCTCCAGTGTCCTCTCTTTTCTACCCCCCAAGGTCCTCTCAGCTCGAGGTTGAAGTATCAAGAGGAAAGAGGCTTAATTTGTATTGTTGTTAGCTTAATAAGTAGGTCAATAAGTATTTGTTAAAATTGATAAATATCCAGGGTATCAGGTATTTTCAGGCAAATTTTAGCAATAAGATAAGTGTTTCAGAAACTTAAAGATAGGACTGCTAAAAAAAAAAAAAAAAAGAAAAACGATGATAGTCTATATTGTGAGTATAGCTAATTTGAGGAAATCTTTTCATTATTCATTTAAACAATGATGGATAATAGTTATATAGAATGATCAACTTGGTTTCCAACCAAGTCCCTAAATTTAGAATTAGAACCTTCAAGAATTAACTACTGTTGTGGTCCTAGCTGTATTTTAATCCTCTTAGGTTGATGAATGTAGAAATTTTATTTTTAGCCATTATTTTTAGATTAGATCAATGTCCTTCTGACCCATTAGACCCAAGAGGAATCTTGTTTAGGCCAGACTTTCCTATTAAAAGGTAGGTGCATTTCCTAGAGTGGCATTTTCTGTTGAGTAAATACTATTTTTCAGCTATGGGGTTGGTTACTTAACTCCAAGGTAATTGAGTGTGAAAGTAGGCAGTTCTGATCAATACCTTTTGAACAGCATCTTTGCTCTTACCAAAGGATAGCAATCTTCTTCTTCTTTTTTTGAGTTGTAGTCTCACTCGGTTTCCCAGACTGGAGTGCAGTGGCCGCTCCCGGCCACCGCAACCTTGACCTGCTGGGCTCTGCGATCCTTCCCCCTCAGCCTTCCGAGTAGCTGGAATTACAGGTGCGCGCTGCCACGCCCGGCTAATTTTTTTTGATTTTTTGTAGAGATGACGTCTCGCTGCCCAGGCGGGTCTCGAATCCGCGGGCTCAGGCAATCCACTAACCTCAGCCTCCCAAGGCGCGGGATTACAGGCTGAGCCACTGAGCCCGGCTTTTTTTTGAGTTGGAATCTCACTTTGTTGCCCAGGCTGGAGTGCAGTGGCACACTCACAGCCACCCCAGCATCGACCTGCTATTCTTAGGCGATCCTTCCACTTCAGCCTTCGAAGTAGCCAGAACTACAGGTGTGTGAAGAGGTCTGGCCAAGTTGCCTAGGCCAAGTTGCCTAGGCTGAACCTGTGAGCTCAGGGAATCCACTCACCTTGGCCTCCCAAAGTGCTGGGATTACAGACTGAGTCACTGAGCCTGGCCGGATAACAATCTTGAAGCTAGAAGATCTCAGACCAGGGATGATCTCTGAGCTGAGACCTCTGGCTAGTAGTTATTGGCAGTTGCACCATACACCAGCTTGGGTGATGCCTTGGGTCCATCTCTCTCTATTTTCTATTCTGAAGCAGGTAGTGTAAGATATGGAACATTATGAGAAGTATTCCGGTCCAGACCTGGGTTGAAACCTCAGCTTCAGAACCCAGCACTATGCGATTTTGGATAAGTAAACTACTTCACCTCTTTGAGCCTGTGTTTCCTTTTCTAAATGCTAGGAAAAGTAATGTCTGTTGTGTAGGGTTGTTGTAAAAATGAGACGAGACATCTTTTATAGAGTATTTAGCATTTGTGCCTATAGATCCTCATTCTTTATGCCCCACGATATCTACTCTACCACCGATATTATAAATATAGATTCTTGGAAATCAGACACTCAGAGGATCTAAAAACCACTTCCTGAATATGCAAGTTCAATATTACGCTTCAAAAAAGCTTTAAAATATCAGACTTACAAATAAATGGTTAATATTTTAAAATTAAGTTTGCAAAAATGTACTTTATATTATTTTCCACATTTTTGTGAGTATTGATTAGATCTTAGGAGGTTATAAAAATCTTGGGAAGATCATTTTTCTTCTTTGGGCTTTTCTTCACCTCTAACGTCGGTCGGGTGGGTGGGTTAGATGAAATAGTCTTTAAGGTTCCGTCCAGTTCTCAGAGTCTATGATTTTTTGATTTATTGAATGTGAAAACTTGCCTTTTAAAAAGTTTTAGATCCAAATTATTAGCAGAATCTAAAGCATACCTTATGCTTTCATGGTTTTCCCCCTTTGAGGCAAACACTATTAAATCTTGCACAGGCACCTGACTTTTTACTGAATAAATGAAAATTGATTTACAGCTTTTGTGTTAATTTGCTGTTAGTTGCTGAATCCAAGTATAATCCTTGAACTCCATCCTTTGTTCAGCTACTTTCTAATGCATGCTGATGTGAGTTTTCTTTTTTTAAGCATGTACAAGAATATCACTTGATACAGTTTGTTGTAGAAGAAGGAAAACCAGGTTGCTTAGAACCAGACAGGATTAATTTCTAGTCCTAATTCTGCCATCAATCAGCCCTTATTCCTCTGCACCTTGGAGAAGGTACTGTTGTAACAAATCAGGTTCTTCTTTCCTGATCCACGGTTTTCTCATCTGTAAAATGGTATAATACCCATCTTACACGGGTTATTGTGAGAATTTACTATGTCAGCTGTTTAGCAAACAGCAGAAGCTTGATAAATGGCAGTTACTTTCATTATAGTATACATTTATTCAGTATCTATTCTGTAGTTGGCACGCTATGATATGTAGGCATTGGGGCAATACTGCTTGTGTGCCTCAAATATCTGTCAGTGAAACTCTGCCACTGTGTTGGCTATGGTAAGCCTTGGAACAAAGGCACCCCTTGGAAATGTGGCATTTTTATTGTTACCAGAAAACTGCTCAGTTTTTTTATTTTGTTTGATTCCTCTTATTTTTATTTTTATTTTTTTTTGAGTTGGAATCTCACTCTGTCGCCCAGACTGGAGTGCAGTGGCCGCTCCCGGCCACCGCAGCCTCGACCTGCTGGGCTCCGGCGATCCTTCTGCTG